AGAATAACAACAACAAAAATCCAGAAAATCACATTTTAAAAACTTATAAATTGATTTGCATTTGAATGAGTGGAATAAGTATTTAATCCCCTATCAGCAAGATTTCTGGCTCCCAGGTGTCTTTTATACAGGTAATGAGCCGAGATTAGGAGCACTCTCTTAAACGGAGTGCTCCTAATCTCAACTTGTTACCTGTATAAAAGGCACCTGTCCACAGAAACAATCAGATTCCAAACTCTCCACCATGGCCAAGACCAAAGAGCTGTCCAAGGATGTCAGGGACAAGATAGTAGTCTTACACAAGGCTGGAATGGGTTACAAGACTATTGCCAAGCAGTTTGGTGAGAAGGTGACAACAGTTGGTGTGATTATTCGCAAATGGAAGAAACACAAAGTAACTGTCAATTTCCCTCAGTCTGGGGCTCCATGCATGATCTGACCTCGTGGAGTTTCAGTGATCATTAGTACGGTGAGGAATCAGCCCAGAACTACACGGGAGGATCTTGTCAATGATCTCAAGGCAGCTGGGGCCACAATCCCTCAGAAAATAATTGGTAACACACTACACCATGAAGGACTGAAATCCTGGAGTGCCCGCAAGGTCCCCCTGCTCAAGAAAGCACATGTATAGATAGGCCCATCTAAAGTTTGCCAATGAATATTGAATGATTCAGAGGAGAACTGGGTGAAAGCGTTGTGGTCAGATGAGACCAAAATTGAGCTCTTTGGCATCAACTCAACTTGCCCTGTTTGGAGGAGGAAGAGGAATGCTGCCTATGACCCCAAGAACACAATTCCCACCCTCAAACATGGAGGTGGAAACATGCTTTGGGGGTGTTTTTCTGCTAAAGGGATAGGACAACTTCACTGCATCAAAGGGATGATAGGGCCATGTACCATCAAATCTTGGGTGAGAACCTCCTTCCCTCAACCAGGGCATTGGAAATGGGTGATGGATGGGTATTCCAGCATGACAATGACCCAAACCACACGGCTAAAGCAACAAAGGAGTGACTTTAAGAAGAAGCACATTAAGGTCCTGGAATGGCCTAGCCAGTCTCCAAACCTTAATCCCATAGAAAATCTATGGAGGGAGCTAAAGGTTCAAGCTGCCAAATGTCAGCCTCGAAACCTTAATGACATCAGACCTCATTTTTATCCTGTTTTTCCCCCCACCCAAGTTTTTCTGTTTTTTCCCCCAGGACTTCCCATCTCCCGTTAGGGTTGGGGGGCAGTGGGGGTTAGAGTTAATGCATGGTAGGCCTGGCAGCGGCATTGGGCACAATGTGCGAGGCGGCAAATGGCCGTGTCGTGCCAAAACTGGCCATTTGCCGCTTCCTGCCGGACAGTGGTAAGGAAACCGGTATAGCGGCACGTGGGTCAGAAGAGGGGGCAGATCTGCCAGGCCTCATGGCAGCGATATTGGGTGCGACACGTGAGGCGGCAAAGAGCCATGTGTGTGTATATGGGTGTTTGCAGTAGGCTGGGAGCAGATGGGATGAGTCATCAAATCAAAACAGCTCTTCGGAGGTTTGTGCATCTGCCTCCTCATATCTTCAGAGACCTCTCAGATTCTTGCCCTTCTAATGACCTGCTTGTTTCACTTCTGAGATAGTGGCCTATTTTGGACACGAGCTAGTCGATGTAGCCTGGAGTTTAAAAAGAGAAGGCAGGTGTTTCCAATAGTTGTGGCTTCAGCAACAGTAGCTAAAGAGGACAAAAGGGAGGCAAGGTAACATAAGCCACATAAACCCCAGGTCTATTCTTGCTGGTTTATACTATACCAAACCCCATGGCCATGATTTAAGGCCTTGAGCCACATGTGGGTTGAACGCCTGGGGTTTCATCTCAGAGATTGCCAGAGATTATCCAAATATTATTCATACACAGAAGACAATTATTAAATGTCTAGCCATAGTGAAATTAAGTTAATTTTCTTTAATTTCAAGAGCAAATGGAGGGCAGGTTAATTATTGTTCTGATCCCACTGTTAGAGCGAATGTTATATACGCCTGCCCTAAATTAAGTGATGTCTAAATTGGACAAGCATTAATTAAAATTTTACTTAAATCTGGGATTTTGTCATCTAGAGAGAGACATTTATAGGAAGTATAGGATAAAATTATGCAGCCATAGACGTTGGGAGTCAAGAATGCAGAATAAATGGATTTGTCTGTCTCAACCTCTCTTTTTACCTTCTTATAGCTTTGTTCCAGCAGAGTTAAAATCTAAAATATGAAATTCTTAAAACGCAAAACGGAAAAATCTACAACAATCAATGTTAGGAAGAATAGCTACTGTAAAAATGAATATTTTACCAAAATTGCTTTTTTTTTATTTCAAACAGTATCCATAAAAATAGAGAAAAAAAGTCTTTTGACGATTTAAACACACTGATTTTGAAATTTATTTGGCAAGGGAAGAAAGCCAGAATTAGATTAAAATTTTTAACAAGAATCTAAAGAAAATGGAGGATTTGGTTTACTGGATTGGGTCTTATACTATCAAGCATGTGCTTTAACTTCGCTAAAAGAATGGATAACCCTTAGACATAAAAGATTATTATACTTAGAAGGACATGGATTTACAACTAGAAGATGGTATGCCTTTCTATGGTATGGGAAGAATAAAATTCATAGATACGGTACTTCCAAAATCACTATATAAGAAATGCATTACTTTTAGTATGGGAAAAGATAAAAGCTAAAATTTATATGAAAATACAAGGATGGCTTTCAACAGTGGAAGCTTTTGTTCATCCAAACCTATTTGAGAAAATTGTAACCTATAAAGATATTTTGAATACTGAAGGGAAATTAAAATCCAAAGAAGAGTTGGAAGATCAGGGCATTGCTTTATCAAGGTGTCCTCAATTGCAAATACAATTGAGATATGAGAAAGATGCTAAAATACAGTGCTTTTTTTGTAAAAAAAAAAAAGATGCCGGAACTCACACATGTCATACAACCTGCCTTGCCTACCCTACAAGGTTCCATCCAAAAAAGGTGCCGGAACTCCATTCTGGGCGTTCTATGACAAAAAAAGCCCTGCTAAAATACATGTTTTTTTATAAAAACCAGACAATGTTTGATCAGATATTGTTGATTTTAGAAGAAAAGCCGATTAAGAAACTGTATAATTATCTATTAAATTTAAAAATGGAAGATGAACAAGTGAAAGAAATAATGATAACATGGGCAAAAAATTTTGGGCACAATATAGAATTAGAAAAATGGCAAAATCTTTGGGAAAGAAACTTTAAATTGACAATGGCAACTGCTTATAAAGAAAATTTATATAAAATGTTTTATAGATGGCACTTACCACCTGCGAGATTAGCAAAAATGTTTAAAAAGTTGTGTAGTATCTGTTGGAGGTACAATAAAAAACCAGGCACATACTACCATTTTTGGTGGACGTGCCTTAAAGCAAAAAATTTTGGACAAAAATACATGTCTGGCTAGAAAAGACATTAAGAAAACATGTAGATTTTAAACCGGAACTATTTTTATTAGATATATTATCAGGAAAATATGATAAAGAAAGTATATATTTAATGTTGCATGTATTAACAGCAGCAAGAATTGTATTAGCTCAGTATTGGAAAAATGAAGAAACGCCATCTGAAGAAGAGATAATCAAGAAAATACTGGACTGTGCAGAAATAGACAGACTTATACTGAAGATTAAAGAAAAAGAAGATATAGAATATTTTCAAATATGGGATGTATTTTATCAATGGCTGGACAAACGGGGTAGAGATTAGGAATTTAATGTGTATTATTAAGTAAAACAAATGGACCCAGACAACACGTTGTTTACTAAGCTCTTATGAATTGTAAATGTAGAAAACTAATAAAATATTATAAAAAAAGAAAAGAAAAAGGATGGAATCAGTTTCAGTGAAAAGAGGTTCATATATTGAAATGATTGTTCTACAATCTATTCTATGTAAACTTTAAATATGACAAAGGCATGTTATTTCACCTGCCCAAATTGAATTATTTGTTTGAAAGGTGTTTCCAAAGAATTGTTAAGACCCTAAGCCAGGGGTAGGAAACCTCGGCTCTTTTATGATTCATGGACTTCAACTCCCAGAATTCGTTGAAGTCCATGAATCATAAAAGAGCCGAGGTTGCCTACCCCTGCCCTAAGCCTTTGATCAAAAGCAGCCATATACATGGAAAACCTGAGGACAACTTTCCTTTGGGTGAACCAGTGGGCCCGTCCAACACTGATTGAGGTCTCTTCCATCCAATGAAAAATGCTTGATACGTGAGTAAGCAGGTTCTCCTGGTTGGGAAAGATCGGGCAGGAGAGCCAAGTTCTAAACTTTCAAGCACTTCAGAAGTCAACCGAAGGGGACTTTGGGGAAGGTTCTATACGTGGAAACCTCAAATCCTCAGAAGACCTAACCATAGGAAGAAACCTGATGCCTGCCTGCCTGCCTGCCTTCGGAGGGATAATAGTCCCGGGAATGCACCAGTTGACCCTGATAACTGTTGTCGGGACAGATCATCTGACCCGCGTTTTTTCTGCTGCTTCATTTCAGGATTGAGTGGAAAACAAAACTAGGAAGAATGCAACCGAGCAGTTTTTGAACTAAGCATTAACAAGGAGGAAAAGAAAGGGAAGGGGAGGAATCGAAGCAAATAATGGAGAAAGGAATGAAAAATAAAAACCGACCTCACGGTTTTCTTTTAATCGATGCGCCTACGCGATTTATTTTTTTAAAGGCTTTTTTCAAACCTCCCCAATGTCAAAGGCAGGGGAGTTATCACAGACTTGCAAAATCTGTTTGGAAGAAAAGGAGAAAACGGGCGAGGAGAGTGTTCGAAATGACTCGAAAGAAACACGATCCACAAAGGCCAAATACCCACCTGCCGCCTTGTCACTTCTATTTCGCGAGGACCGCATGTTAAATAAATTCTGGGTATCCCGTTTAGTGGGAAACGAAAGTGAAAATGCTACACGGTCGGCCTGATTCGAAGAGTTTTTCCGCTATCCCAGAAGATGGCGGAGAGAGCAAAGATGTGCCCCTTTCCTGTGCTGGTGCAGGGAGCCTGGGGGAGCCCCGATCCCCCCAAAATTTTGAGAAATAAAATCCTCCTCTACTTCCAAAGCCGGAAAAAATCGGGAGGTGGAGAATGCGAGATCCAGAAGCAAGGGGGGCAGATCTTGGTTTGCTTTGCCCAGGAGGAAGGTAAAGGAAGCGTCTTATTCTCTCTCGGTGGGGCTGCTTGGGAATTTCCACTCCTCTGTTTTTTTCTCGTTTGCTGTAGGAGCGACGGTTTTAAGTACGACGTGAGTAAGAAGGGGAGGCTGGAATTCTGCAGTATCGGTTTTTCTGCGTTAAACACGGTTCTTCCTCCTCTTACGTATCGGATTGCTACAAAAGTTGTAACGGAAATGAAGTTTTTAGTGGAAAAAGGCGCTTGTTTGCCTTCCTCACAGGCCTTCCCATTCTTCTACTCCTCCAGTCTCTCCAAAGCAGTTTGAAAACTTTATCTTCAGATCCCCAAATTTTGGAATGCTGAAGGTGCCGGAACTCCGTTCTGGGCGTTCTATGAGAAAAAAAGCCCTGAATATTCTAATGATTCATGTAATGTATATATTTTTGTGACACAGTGAGGCAAAGAGTTCTCTCCCAGAAGATCCATGAGTTTGATGTGGAAGGAAGAGGAACACTAAAGCTGGAAGTCTCCCTGTATGAAGCAACAGACCCAGATAAAGATAATGCAGCTAAGGAGGAAATAATTCCTGGGAAGGTAACATTAACCTCATAGATTTCATACTTTTGAAGAGAGATAAACTGAAGTTCCAGGCAGTAACATTCTCATGCTAATGTTCCCCTCCCCTTTTTATTTTTAGGTTCTGAGTGAAGAAGGCCAAGAAGGTAAATCAAAGTTTTAAACACTGAGACAATTTTATATTGGTACCAAGGGAAATTTTGGAGATGGAAGCAGTTGCTGATGAAACAGGTTCTTGGTTTTTACATGCCAGTTCCATGATTGTATAAGGAGCAGATAATCTACCAGGGCAGATGTTTTACAGGGTAGTATAGATAGAAAACAGCAACTCAAAGGTTCTAATTCCTCTGAGTTTTGTTGTTTGGAGCTTGTTGGCATAAAGAAGAAGGCAAGAAAAGTGCAACAGGGTTCAAGATTCATACTACTAGAATGCAGTATGCATAAAGTGACTATAGAGAAAAATGGCCCATTCAGAATATTAGCATATATAATTTCCCAGTGATGGTGAAAGATGTAAGAGAAAAGGAAGGTCCTTTCCCAAACAATGCATAGCCAACCTCTAGAACAGACATGTCAAACTCGTGATGTCACGTGACATCGCACAACGTATCGGAGCTTTTTTGCCATTGCCGGCAATGGGGTGGGCGCGGCTCCGGTATGATGAAACCGGCCCGCGGGCCAGCAGTTTAACACCCCTGCTCTAGAATTTTTCTACTTCAAAATGTGTGTGCAGCCACTGGCTTGAGTTGCTTTACAGGAGATTCAACAAATTCAGCATTTACTTTGCTGAATCACTGTGGATTGCTGTAGATATAGCTTTTTAGTTGCCAGTAAGCATGGGTAGAATTGAGTTAAAATCTCCTATGTCAATACTGAATTATGATAATTAAGCTCGGATGTTTGAAAAAGTATACCCTGACATTTTAAAATAAAAATAAATAAAAATAAATGTAACTTCAGTAAAGTGAAAATAATTTTAAAGTAGTGTGATATTAATTGTTTCATGCTGCCTTTTTAGACATAATTCAGGACAGCAAACATACCTAATTCTTTTGCCCCCACAGCAATCATCTGTGGTGGGCTGGGCTGAGAAAAAGGGATTGGCCCAAAATCAGTGAGTCAGCTTTCATGCCTAAGGGAGAGCTAGAAGTCACAGTCTTTGCTGGTTCCTGGGCCAGCCACTTAGCCACTATTCCAAACTGGCTCCCTGGCATATTTAAGTAATTTAAAAATATAAGCCAACCCTGTGCAGCTGAATCTTTTTATTTATTCCTCTTTTTTTTAAATTAGAAGTACAAGACTGCCAAACAAAGAATGATACCCTAAGAAGTGGGCCAGCTGAGGAAGCTCCACGTGCTGAGAAGGATATTCTTGACTATTCTCAAAGATCTCCACTAGTAGTCCTTGAAAATGTTGAAGAAAATATCCACCCGGACACATTAATGCTACTGGTGGATAACATCAGTGCTCTTTCGGGAGATAGTACCTTCCATATTGAACAGATAAATGAGAAGAAGGCTGCAGTAGTAACCTTTCAGCAAAGCACTGGTAAGATCTCTAAGCTCATTGCTCAGATATTTAATATTTGGAGAATTTTATGGTGTACGATACCCTTTCCTAGTCGAGTGTGTTTCTGATACGTTGGACTTCAGTCCCTGTCACCTATAGTCACTTGGGAGGGGGGGTGTCACAAGAACTTGAACCCCACAAATCTATGAGAGTTGTTGATCAGGATTCTGATTCCTATATTGAAATGGCTGAAATAAAGGACATGTATCCTGAGTGTGGGAAAGGATGAGAGGGAAACCACAAATGGTCTTAAATAAAACTTGCTAAAAATGCTTATTGCCATCTGAATGTGGGCATGGATATTTTGGTACTTTATCTGCTGTTAAACAAATAGCTGCGTTTTCCACTGAGGGAACCAAGTAAAGTATAAAAGCATGCTGAAGAAGTTGTTCAGGGTCTTTCCAGCCTTATAGGAGGACCGACGTTTGTCCAGATCTGAATAAACATGTGACTCAGAGAGAGTTGGACTCTGCCTCTTTGTCTGTGCTGGAGCAGACTTAGTGCTCCTGCTTAACAGGAGCACCATAATAGCCCTTATAATTTTTTCTCAGATCTGTATCCCTTAATTTTTTTTTTTTTGTCTTTAACTCCCACCACTGCTAACCAGTTTTTTCCCTGTCAAGTTCTAATGAAAATTAAGAGTCCAGAACATCTTCTGGAGGCACAGAAGCTGAAGAACATTTCCATATTACCTAGGCATTTGTTCATGTCTCAATTGTTTTTAGAAACTTGGTGAAATGCGAGCTCTTCTGTTCCCATACCTGCAGATTACGAAATGCTTAATCTACTCTTCCTAATTTCAGAATGGTACTTCAAAAATTCTTTCATTCATGTAAGCAGCAGTCAGTAACCCTGCATAACGCTTTTCTATCCTTCACATGGGGGAGGGGGGGCTATGTTCTGGATTCTTTTTACATTGTTAAGCCATGTGAGTGATGGCTAAAGGAAAGTGTTAAAGGTAACTTGCTGCCATGAGATCATTTGGCCATCTACTTAGTACAGGGGTAGTCAACCTTGCTGGCTCAGGAATTCTGGGAGTTGAAGTCCACGAGTCATAAAAGAGCCAAGGTTGACTACCCCTGACTTAGTAGATGTGTTTTTCATAGGTAGATAAGAAAATAGGAACTACCTTTTTATGCCAGAAAACCACCTACTAGCTGATTCACCATTCTAATTCTAAAGAAGAATGAATGCCAGATGCTCTTCCTCCCTTTTTTAAAAGACATGCATAATTATTCATCATTATTGTTTTCTAGTTCCACTGTACTGGAAGTCCTTGGTCTATGACCTGGGGTCAAAATTCTGACAGCCATGGGTCCCTTGTGGTCACAGGATTGTATTTTGGACAACTGGCCTCCATTGCAGTATCCCATGGTTACGTGATCGCGATCTATGACATTTTTGCTGAAAACCAACCTTTCTTGCAAAAAATGGTTCATAGTGAACAATGGGTTTGCTTAATGACTGCAGCAGTCACTTGACAATCAGGATAATTCTCTTAATGACCATAACAAAAAGGATTGTAAAATTGGGTCAGTCATGACTTACTACCATAATGGGAAGGTTTTATAATGGTTCTAAGCTGAGGAGTACCTATACTATCTGCTAATTTATTTGATTAACCTCTCCACCCTTTTTCTCAAAAGAGCATTCAGTTCCATACAAAACTTCTTGATCTGAGCACACAGGTTGTTTTTAATCTGCTATGAATTTCCTGGGTGAAAGTGACATGTCTTCCCAGATATTGTCAATGCTGGGAGAGTGGGAGCCATCTGCAAACCCAACTCTTGGTGACTACATTGATACTTCCAAGTACTATTCTTGACAGTAGTATGGAAGTAGTTCGCTTTGACTTTTTTCAACCCAAGGTATTCCCTGAAAGTATCCTGTCCAAATAACAACCTGATATTA